ACAACCAGCAAATCGTTTAACAACCAGAATAGCCCAACTTAATATTAGGTTACATGTTAAACGTTTCAAAATGATTTTTGTTCCCATGAACTTAAATATTGTCCCCATTCCTTTCCCCCGTCCCAAATCCCTTTCCCCGTCCCAAATCCCTTTCCCCGTCCCAAATCCCTTTCCCCGTCCCAAATCTCTTTCCCCGTCCCAAATCCTTATCCTGGTCTCTCCCTTCCAAGTGCTATATAGTCGATATGGTTTGGTGCTTTCTCCTGATAGTTCCATTTGTTTAAACTCTGTTCTGTCAATATTTTACAAAAAAGGCTCTACAGAGCGTGACTCAGTAGTTACCTTGAGGTTACCCGGAGTATACCTGGATTAGGTTTTGAGATTTCTATTACTCCTCAAGTCCGGCCTGAGGTCTTGTGATAACTTGGTCCAAAAGGCTATATTTTTGGTGTGGCTCGCAGGCCCATGTACTACAACCTGCTTGTTCACGTTGAGGTGCTCGGAGGATCACTTTACACCAATCCAGGCCTCTGACTAGGCCTCTGACTAGGCCTCTGACTAGGCCCCTGACTAGGCCTCTGACTAGGCCTCTGACGAGATCACATATCTCTATATTATTCACCCTCAGTTTTAAGAGATCATTGAAGCGAACATTTTTGTCAACATGAGATGTACTAACAGTTAACCAGTATATATATACATTTAAGTCAGTCCTATATAGACGAGCTAGGGTTCGAACTCGACTCACAGTCGGGAATTCCGACCGGGACATATATGATTGGACACACACTTCCTCTCGCCTAATGTCCCTGTTCACCTAACCTAGCAGTAAATAGGTACCCGGGAGTGAGTTGACCGAGAAGGGTCGGTAGTTTGACCTGAGGGTGGGGGCGGGGACCTCGATACAAGCCTCACACACACACATTATATATATATATATATATATATATATATATATATATATATATATATATATATATATATATTAGTATATTTTGGTAGCAGTCTTTCCTGTAGACATATATTATTAAATATGACCGAAAAAGTAAGATTAATAATTCTAACACGAATTTTCTCAATCTTTCGTACATTACGCTTCACTGTTGGAGGTAAATCAAAAATCACTTCTCCAAAATTCATTTTTATTTCTAGTCTGACGCGACACGGGCGCGTTTCGTAAAACTTATTACATTTTCAAAGACTTCACAAATACACAACTGATTAGAACGTATCTCTGATTTTATATCTACATTTGAGTGAGGTGGGAAGGGTGATGTGGCATTAACACAAGACAGAACAGGAGGGGATATTAATAGGGTATTAAAAGTATCAACACAAGACAGAACAGAAACAATGGGTATTGAATAGAAGTGTTTGTAGAAAGCCTATTGGTCCATATTTCTTGATGCTTCTATATTGGAGCGGAGTCTTGAGGTGGGTAGAATATAGTTGTGCAATAATTGGCTGTTGATTGCTGGTGTTGACTTCTTGATGTGTAGTGCCTCGCAAACGTCAAGCCGCCTGCTATCGCTGTATCTATCGATGATTTCTGTGTTGTTTACTAGGATTTCTCTGGCGATGGTTTGGTTATGGGAAGAGGTTATATGTTCCTTAATGGAGCCCTGTTGCTTATGCATCGTTAAACGCCTAGAAAGAGATGTTGTTGTCTTGCCTATATACTGGGTTTTTTGGAGCTTACAGTCCCCAAGTGGGCATTTGAAGGCATAGACGACATTAGTCTCTTTTAAAGCGTTCTGTTTTGTGTCTGGAGAGTTTCTCATGAGTAGGCTGGCCGTTTTTCTGGTTTTATAGTAAATCGTCAGTTGTATCCTCTGATTTTTGTCTGTAGGGATAACGTTTCTATTAACAATATCTTTCAGGACCCTTTCCTCCGTTTTATGAGCTGTGGAAAAGAAGTTCCTGTAAAATAGTCTAATAGGGGGTATAGGTGTTGTGTTAGTTGTCTCTTCAGAGGTTGCATGGCTTTTCACTTTCCTTCTTATGATGTCTTCGATGAAACCATTGGAGAAGCCGTTATTGACTAGGACCTGCCTTACCCTACAGAGTTCTTCGTCGACTTGCTTCCATTCTGAGCTGTGGCTGAGAGCACGGTCGACGTATGCGTTAACAACACTCCTCTTGTACCTGTCAGGGCAGTCGCTGTTGGCATTTAGGCACATTCCTATGTTTGTTTCCTTAGTGTAGACTGCAGTGTGGAAACCTCCGCCCTTTTCCATGACTGTTACATCTAGAAAAGGCAGCTTCCCATCCTTTTCCGTCTCGTAAGTGAAACGCATGGAAAAGGGCGGAGGTTTCGTGTTATTCGTGTTAAAATTCGTGTTAGAATTATTAATCTTACTTTTTCGGTCATATTTAATAATATATATATATATATATATATATATATATATATATATATATATATATATATATATATATATATATATATATATATATATATATACACACACACACACAGACTGCGTGTCCCCTGGCAAAGCAAATTATAGTGAAGTATAAAGCTCTCGACTTTTCATTTAGCAGTCTCCGTGGTGTAGTGGTAAGACACTCGCCTGGCGTTCCGCGAGCGCTATGTCATGGGTTCGTATCCTGGCCGGGGAGGATTTACTGGGCGCAATTCCTTAACTGTAGCCTCTGTTTAACGCAACAGTAAAATGTGTACTTGGATGAAAAAACGATTCTTCGCGGCAGGGGATCGTATTCCAGGGACCTGCCCGAAACGCTACGCGTACTAGTGGCTGTACAAGAATGTAACAACTCTTGTATATATCTCAAAAAAAAAAAAAAAAAAAAAAAAAAAAAAAAAAAAAAAAAAAAAAAAAATTGTGTATTGTATATCGTTGTAGCAGGTTTTCTGTGTCGTGGTCGCGTTAACAGAAAACTGCTCTTGAGCTGAAGGGGGAGGGAGACTATTCTAAGAGTTGACAGTATTCTGCTGTCCGGAACAGAAAGCGTATTATGCTTATGGATGTCTCTCTAGCTAAAGGCGAGACAGTACTCGTGGTCACCCATCCAGTGCTGATCATATTTTCTTGTACCATCATATTATGATGTTAAATGATTTATTTGATTGTAAACTGCTAGATACTATATTAAGCCACTGTATTAGTTTAGGTTAGATTACTTGGTCATAATTTAGGATGCTAACATGATATTGTATTATATTGACACGTTTTCATATAAAGATATTGCTTCCTGTAGCACTGATGTTCTTCCTCGCCTTACAGCCAAGAGACTCTGGTCCCAATCTCCGGACAGGGCAACAACGGTTGGTCACGTGTGCTTTCATCTGATAACTCTGTTCACCTAACAGTAAATAGTACCCCAGGAGTTAGATAACTATTGTAGGTTGCATCCTTGGGAACGTCAATTGTTGGCCTAGTGGGACCTCGATAAGCCAGAGTACAAATTTCCTGAGTTGAATGTCTGTGGGTGTTTGTCGAAGAATGGACTTCAGGCGCTTGGCCTAAACTCGCCCAGTTTTTCAAGATGACACATGGGTGGTATGTTCCGGTCATAGGCTTGTTGGAGTCGGTTCCTATTCCGAATTCCAGCAACTACGACGTCTAAAATGGTGTTTTGTTTGCCATAGTTTTTCAGTAGAGTTTTTCAGTTTATAATATTGCAACTTACTACGTAATCACAGCGTTTTTAAACTACGTTGTTATGATGACGCATAAAAATAACAGTTGTAAAAACAACGTTATGGTTATATTGTGTTTGCCTGGATTGTATGTTCTGAGAGAGAGAGAGAGAGAGAGAGAGAGACAGAGACCCGGGCACTGCCGGGTACCCCATCTAATGCGATAAATAATATTACATGGTCAAGTTTACTAAAGCCAAGACGAGAATGAATCCTCACCTTCGGTGTGTTTCTCCTTAATGTCAGTCTTGTTATCACAAGACAAACCAGGCCCCCACGACGAGGTGGAGGTGTAGAACTCTCGGAACCCATTCCAGGTAAGCTCCAGGAACAAAAGCTCGCGGGTTAATTAAGATCTGGAGAGCAGCCACGGGGGTCACGAAATGTTAGAAGCGGCTCTATTGGTTTTGAGGTCAATTCCAGGTAGTTCAGTTGGGGTCCAACTGGCTTTGTTATGAACCTTTTTAATGTTTAATGTTATGAACTATTATATTATAAGCTACACTGGCTTGGGAGGAATCTCGGTTAATCTAATTGGCTTTCTGTACATGTCTTAGTATGTAAATACTTCACAGAGTATTTGTTTTCAAATTCTGTAGTTAATCATTAACACTTGTGCATTTTCTATGGTAGGAACTGGTAAACAGAAAACGGTTCTTTACAGTAAAGGGGACACTACCATAAAAAAGTTTTACACACGAAATGGTATATCAATCTCCGTTGTCGGGGACTGGAAGCTTGTGTGTGTGTGTGTATATATATATATATATATATATATATATATATATATATATATATATATATATATATATATATATTTATTTATTGTCGTACGTAGTAGCCTAGTATGCAAGGCCCGATTTGCCTAATAGGCCTAGTGATTTTTATTATTTTCAACAAATTGTAAATAACTCCCAATTATAACTATATTACTGCCAAGTGAACAGAGGTATTAGATGAAAGAAAACCACGCTGAAATTTAATAGTTGTATTAAATTCAAATACATGTACTGATTACGATATATTTCAAATACTCGTATACCCTATTTTCATTTATCTCTAATAAATACACATTGATTTTGTATTTAGATTTTGTAAGTAATTTTCTTGTTATGTGATGTAGTTAATTTTGACGGGTGTTTTTCTCCCTTGGTTAATTTTGACGGGTGTTTTTCTCCCTTGGTTAATTTTGACGGGTGTTTTTCTCCCTTGGTTAATTTTGACGGGTGTTTTTCTCCCTTGGTTAATTTTGACGGGTGTTTTTCTCCCTTGGTTAATTTTGACGGGTGTTTTTCTCCCTTGGTTAATTTTGACGGGTGTTTTTCTCCCTTGACAGATCTGTCCCGGGCCAAGCGGAACCTGAGCAACAACCTCCAACGCTTCAAGTTCGAGTGCATCGGCAACAGCCAGACGGATGATGAAATTGTTATTGGCGGCTCCCTTAGGGAGTTCGCCAAGATCATTGACATGGTGGAGGACGAGCGTGAGAGAATGGTGAGTGTGGCAGGTGTGTGTGTGGGTGTGGCAGGTGTGTGTGTGGGTGTGGTAGGTGTGTGTGTGGGTGTGGCAGGTGTGTGTGTGGGTGTGGCAGGTGTGTGTGTGGGTGTGGCAGGTGTGTGTGTGGGTGTGGCAGGTGTGTGTGTGGGTGTGGTAGGTGTGTGTGTGGGTGTGGCAGGTGTATGGGTGTGGCAGGTGTGTGTGTGAGGTGTTGTAGGTGTGTGTGGGGGGGTGGCAGGGGTGTATAGCGAAGTGTATGTAATGGGACAGTTTGTTTGGGAGTGCATGAAGATGTATGAAGGAAGTGTGGTTTATGGGAGTAACTTTTTATTTATGTGGGGTTGGGGTGTGTTTAATGAGGTAGAGTTCATGTTGGGGTAGTGTGCAGAGTGCGCGTCAGTGTGTGTAGTGGTGGAGTCAGTATGTGCGAATGTTCATGAAAAGTTGCGGGGCACTTGGGTGAGTGGGTGTGTGTGTGTGCGGGGGAGTGGGTAACGGGTACAGTGTGGGAGGAGTGTGCGTGCGGTGATGAAGGGGTTCTGATGGTGAGAGGGAAGAGTGACAGGGATGACACTGACAGGAAGGGTGAAGGTGACCAGAAGTGACGGCTGAGACAGGAGAGCAACCCGTCCTCTTAAAAATAACGTCGCTTTTCGCTCATATGTGCGCTATGGCCAAATTTAGACGTAATTTGAAACGAAATTGACTCGCAAAAGTGACGTACTGTCCCGTTTCCTGTTTGGGTCGTCCGGCTTACTCGGTAAGGTTAGGAGAGGAAACTTTCAATTAACGTTTTTTTATAACGTTTTGAAACTTTGAGAATTTCCTGCGCACCTAACCTACTAGAGGACCCTTAACTTACTGTTGTTAAAAAAAAAAAATCCCAAATTTATTTTCATTTTTTTTTTTTCAAATTACGTCCACTTTCGGCCATACGGCCAAAAGCGACGTTATTTTTAAGAGGACAGGTTGCGCTATGTTAAATACCGTCCAGTGCGATGAATATGAAAACAGCTGACTAATATGAAAGAAGTAAGCACGAATGTTTGTTAGTGATAGATAAGTGTATATATGTGTGTGTGTGTGTGTGTGTGTGTGTGTGTGTGTGTGTGTGTGTGTGTGTGTGTGTGGCATCACTAAAGTGTTTGTGTTGTGGTGGGTCACCAGCTGGAGCGGTCCTACGAGCAGATCATCCAGCCTCTGGAGAGCTTCCGCAAGGAGGCCATCGGGGGCGCCAAGGAAGGCAGAAAGAAGTTTGAGAAGCAGACGCAGAAGTTCTGTCAGTCCCAGGAGCGTTACCTCAACCTCTCCACCAAGAAGGACGGACAGGTGCTTCAGGAGGTCAGTCGCATCGTCTTACTCTCAAAGCCCATGTACTTGTATTTATATTTCATGCTTCAATTGTCTCTCTCTGTGTGTGTTTCTGTCTGTTATAGCGTCTTCTCCTTTAGTGCCAGTGGCGATTGTGTCACGAGGCGCTGTGACGTGACTGGCAGTGGGGATGATTGTATAGTGTCAGCAATAGCGATGACAGCATGGCTTGTGATGGTGTTTCTGGCGTAAATGAAGGTCTTGGATGTGTTACCCAGGAGGGTGAGTTCGTCTTACTCATCCCTGAGTGCTCTCAAGTTGCCTCCGGTTTTATCCATGAATCATGCCTAATTTGTGCTCGTTAGAGACTCGTTGCTGTGACCCCCTTCAATGAGTGCCACTTCGCCTCGTACTGTTTAGCACCCTTCACACTAACTAGTGGCACCCACTAGTTAGTGTTGCTCCCCTCCCCCCCCTTCCCTCTTGTGACCCACACTGCCCCATCTCTTGAATTACTCCACTACTTTTACTAGCAACATTACCCTAATAATAATTTAATATTTCCTAATACAATGACTATCTACAGTTAATGTCTTCATCTCCTTTCTTGTCATCCATCTGCTCCTGTCAGGCGACCACCTGTTGATGATCTCAAGATGCTGAGGGGACAGTGTGATGTCAGTGGTGCTTCGTGAAGTAGTGATGTCAAGAATGATGATATGTATCATGACGTTGTGATGGCATCTGTCATGTATCCATTGTCACGTGGGATACATAACCGACATGACACGTGACGTGACCACGTGTCATGTTTAGGGGTGTTGTTACCCCCTTCCTCCCCCCTCCCCCCCCCCCTTTTTCCTCATCTGCGAGTTTCTAAGCACATGACATCACCCCATATTGTTACACCAGCTATTAAAGATGCTCGCGGATGTTAGTTTAAAGTGATTAGAGCTGCGTGCTTCGTGGTATATATATATGTTGGTGGTGTCTGGTCTTGTGTGCATGTGTGGGTCGCTGAGCAAGAAAATGGGCACTGTAGCTTTGAAAACAGAAAATGGGCACTTGTTTTGAAGACAAAAAATGGGCACTGTAGTTTTGATGACAGAAAATGGGCACTATAGTTTTTAAGACAGAAAATGGGCACTATAGCTTTGAAGACAGAAAATGGGCACTGTATATGCACAATAAGAAGATCCTGGTGGTAAATTTACAGTTTTGTGGTGGGGACGATAAAGTTTCTCAGGTGAAAGGAAACACATGGAGGAGCGGTAATGTGACCCGCGGCGCTGGCAAGAGTATCTCTCTGGCCCTGACAAGAATATCTCTGGCCCTGGCAAGAGTATCTCTGGCCCTGGCAAGAATATCTCTGGCCCTGGCAAGAGTATCTCTGGCCCTGGCAAAGAGTATCTCTCTGGCCCTGGCAAGAGTATCTCTGGCCCTGGCAAGAGTATCTCTGGCCCTGGCAAGAGTATCTCTCTGGCCCTGGCAAGAGTATCTCTGGCCCTGGCAAGAATATCTCTGGCCCTGGCAAGAATATCTCTGGCCCTGGCAAGAGTATCTCTGGCCCTGGCAAGAATATCTCTGGCCCTGGCAAGAGTATCTCTGGCCCTGGCAAGAATATCTCTGGCCCTGGCAAGAATATCTCTGACCCTGGCAAGAGTATCTCTGGCCCTGGCAAGAATATCTCTGGCCCTGGCAAGAGTATCTCTGGCCCTGGCAAGAATATCTCTGGCCCTGGCAAGAATATCTCTGGCCCTGGCAAGAGTATCTCTGGCCCTGGCAAGAGTATCTCTGGCCCTGGCAAGAGTATCTCTGGCCCTGGCAAGAGTATCTCTGGCCCTGGCAAGAGTATCTCTGGCCCTGGCAAGAGTATCTCTGGCCCTGGCAAGAGTATCTCTGGCCCTGGCAAGAGTATCTCTGGCCCTGGCAAGGAGTACATTTGCCAGCTTTGCGTATACTGCAGAGGTTGTTTGGTTGTGTTCCTAGAGGTCGGCTTTCCCTGTACAGTTATTTGCATTTGTTACAGTTGATGTCAAGTAACCATCTTTCCAACCATGGCTACAGGCCTTCCTGTAGCCTCTTTGGCTAACTGTACTCGCCTGATTGTGGTTACGGTGGGTTGAGCTTTGACTCTCTGGTCCTGCGTGTTAACCTTCCGTCAACTAGTGTAGACCTTGAACTATATGTTTAACACATCTCTAACCCTGTCCATGGAGGACAGAAGAAAATGTATATATGCTGGTTAGCGTTGTAAATGTCTGGCCACGTCTGTGGTAGAAAATAATAATAATAAAATAGTGAACTACAGTGATAAACAGCATATGTTGGAGAATAATATCTAAGGTTTTGTTGAAGACACTTGTCTGATTTTATTTTTCTTAATTTTATTGATTAAAAATAATTCTGACTACAATTGCAGAAACTGTCGGTCTAATGTTCCCTATCCTTACCAACCATTTGAAGGAGGGGGGGGGGGGTGAGGTAAAGAGGATGGAGAGGCACAGATTAAGGGAATGTTTATAGTAAGAGTTATGATAGGAGGCGGACTGTCCGCCTTGCTGACACGATGTGTGGGTGTTGGCAGCTAAGGTAAGCTGGCTCTCTCTTGTCAGGGAGCTGTGTGTGTGTGTGTTTGTGTGTGTGAGGTTCTTCACGTGTATTTCACCATATATGGGGTGTCTGTATTGATGAATACTGTGTAGGATTTATATATATATATATATATATATATATATATATATATATATATATATATATATATATATATATATATATATATATATATATATATATATATATATATATATATATATATATATATATATATATATATATATATATATATATATATATATATATACACATTCCGATGCTTTCACACGTTTTGATGTTCTTTTTAAGGCTCTTTATTTTATTATTATTTATTTATATATTTTTATTTAGTGGCTCTACTCTCTGCGACAGCGAAGCTTCCTCCTCTGACTATACTTCCGCCTGTCCCACTTTCCAGACCCCATCCATCCAGACCTACAGTACCAGCTACTGATATAGTACTGGTACAGTACTAGTACAGTACCGGCTACTGGTACAGTACTAGTACAGTACCAGCTACTGGTACAGTACTGGTACAGTACTAGTACAGTACCAGCTACTGGTACAGTACTGGTACAGTACTAGTACAGTACTGGCTACTGGTACAGTACTGGTACAGTACTAGTACAGTACTGGCTACTGATACAGTATCAGCTACTGGTACTGGTAGTGGCTTCAACTAGCCTCCACTTGCGGGCTATTCATGCCCGTGCCACCTCTGGGGTGGCTTAATCTCTACCAATCAATCTATTGGAGGAGGAATTTCTGATCAGTTACAGCCCCGCTCCTGTGCCAGGTAAGTCCACTACGGGCTCACCATAGCCCGTGCTACTTGGAACTTTTGTTCCGAGTAGCTGAATCTAAACCAACAACAACAACATTCTGATGAGTATTTCATCGAGGAATTAATGTGCTGTGGGGCTGGGTTTTCATTGAGAAGATGGAGGCGGCTCTTGGGCCAGCAGCTGTGGGAGCGGGGCGTCTCATCTTGGTGTAATCTTTATAACATTAGGTCTTGTAACATTTCGATGGTGTTCCACGCCCTGTTGCCTTTTTTGCCTGATGTTTAGTGGCTGTAACCTACCACAGGACCCGCGAACAGAAAACGAAACCATTGTGAATTTCCGTTACCATTTTCTAGTGCGACAGTTTTTGGCCTTAGGTTAAATATACGTCAAAATGCGACGTGCTATTCGGAGGACGGGTTGGAGGACGAGGATAGTGGTGGGGGACGAAGCTCTTGACATTCCTGGTCTGTGACGCAGGACACGCTCCCATGTAAACAGTGTCCTCCTCCTCTCACTTAATTAATTGGTGGGGCAGGCAGGGTGGGGGTTGGGGGTGGGGAAGGGATAGGTTCATCAGGGAGGAGTGGGGGGGGTTGTAGGGGTTGTGGTGGTAGGACTAACTACTCTTTGGCGGGTCTGGTTGTCTGTGCAACCCGGTGGCTGAGCGGACGGAACACTGAACGCGTGATCCTGTGGTCCCGGGTTCGATCCCGGGCGCCGGCGAGAAACAATGGGCAGAGCTTCTTTCACCCTGATGCTCCTGTTACCTAGCAGTAAAATAGGTACCTGGGTGTTAGTCAGCTGTCACGGGCTGCTTCCTGGGAGTGGAGGCCTGGTCGAGGACCGGGCCGCGGGGACACCAAGCCCCGAAATCATCTCAAGAAGATAACCTCAAGAAGATTGTCTATACCAATATCCTTGAGTCGACAGGGACCTCACAGCGTTTCCAACCTCGTAAACGTTTAACAAATACAGTATAAGCCGCCATGATCGAGGAAAGATACACACAGACATCGAGAGAGAAAAACTAGATAGGCCTGCGGGCCGCTCCAAGCAACAGCCTGGTGGACCAAACTCTCACTAGTCATGCCTGGCCTCGGGCCGGGCTTGAGGGGTAGAACTCCCAGAACCCCATCAACCAGGCGTCGTATATGAATACGAAAATATTTGATGTAGCCTTACTCCGGCCTTTGACCAAGCCTGATGGTGTGATCGGGCAAATTGTTGGTGCCCGCAGCTCGCAGTCACACCACCTAGGAGGGGGGGGGGGGCACGCTAAGCACCTGGGATGTGTGTCAGGAGCAGGTAGAGAGGCTAATTTTACTTAATGGTTCGTGGGGGAGGTTTTTGGTGATAAACGCATAGATTAGTGCCAGGTAGGTTTAGTAGGCCTATTTTGTAGGTAAGATAGGGGAGTGGGCGTGGGGCTTTGAAGGGAGCACCACCCCCGCCCCTGGTGGGCTGCTTGTGTGGGGGGGGCATAGTGGCTCGCTAGGCGAACCATGGGGTGTTGAAGCCCCCCCCTCATCCCTCCCCCTCCATCCCCCCTCTCTCTCTGTCTCCCCCCCCCCCTCTCCTCTCTCTCTCTCTCTCTCTCTCTCTCTCTCTCTCTCTCTCTCTCTCTCTCTCTCTCTCTCTCTCTCTCTC